GATCATTTGAAAACTGCAAATCCTGGATTTTTGTTTCCATGAATTTTTATGGTACTCATAGCCTGAAGAAGTAGAAGAGGTTTTAAGAGTTCTAAACTCTAAAGAGGTTTTAAGAGTTGCAACCTTTTGTTGCAAGGTTTCATTTCTAGTTTTATCTTCAAAGTCATTCAGAGATTTGTCGTCAGTAGGAAATGTGCTTTTGGGTTGTGTTTCCGGTAGTGGTGATAGATTTGTGTCCAATCATACATTCTTACATTTCCCTGTGTCTCTTGGCATGTCTTCTGAGGCAGCTGGCCAGGCTTAGTGGTAGAAACTATAACTACAGAACAAAGTGAAGCTAACAAGTTGAACCGCCAACCTTCGCCTTATTATTAGCACCTCTCATCAGACATTGAACATATCAGTAGCCTGAAAATGACTTATTTTGGACTTCATTATTCCAGGACTCTAAAAGAACTTTAAAGCCCTGTAAGATAAGATACAATATTAGTATGAGCTAATCAGTAATTATTGTTTAGATTTTCTGAAAGCACATTTTAAAAAAATGTTTTTTATTGATTTTTAGAGAGAGAAGAAGGGAGACAGAGAGAGAGAGAGAGAAACATGAGTGGCTCCTACTGGGGATCTCTAAAACCCAGGCACGTGCCCTGACCGGAATTGAACCTGCGACCTCTCTGTCATGGGATGATGCTTAACCAACTGAGCCACACCAGCCAGGGCTCTGAAAGCACATTTAAAGAGATTAATTACTAATCAAAAGTATATAAATTAATACTAAAGCTGAGATTGGGACCTATATATATTTTCTTCTTTCCTCCTTATGTTATCTTCAGAAGTCTTCTATTAATGTAGGTCTGTAGTTCCTAGACCAGTAGCATTTGCATTTCTTGGGAATTTGTTAAAAATATAGATTTCCTGGTCCCACCTTAGATGTAACTGAATCAAAAACACGGGGTAGAGTCCACAGTTCATGTTTTAGCAAACCCCCCGGGTGATATTGATGCATGGCAATGTTTGAGAACCACTGCTTTCAATCTGTTACTAATCGTTGCCTAGTAACTCCATCAGTATTAGTTGAAATGAAATAAGTTAAGATCTCTGTTACAACTACCTACTATAAGCCTATTACTTGAGAGTATTTTTGTAAAATATTGAATGAAGTAGTAGAAAGTAAAAGTCATCTCTTGTGAATTTATTATATCTAATTGTTAGGAAATTTCCTGAGGTCTTTTCTTTCTCAGCCACATGTAACACAAATCAAGAATACCTGATTTCGTCTTTTTCTTAAAAAGAGATCCTTGGTGAGATACATTAGTGGTAACATGTATTTTTAAACAGTATTATGAATAGGTAATTCAGGACATCGCCTGAGCCAATAAAGCTAGGCTTATGCCCAAGAGAAGGAAATAACCCAAATACAGATGTCCAGAAAGCAGTAAATTTGTTTTGGAAAGCTGCCAGTATAATGCTATTGTATTCAGAATCTCCAGGGCCAAAGGTGATTCAGGAGTTGACTGGTGGAAATTCTCTAGATGTTAGTATAGAATATTTTCTCCTTTCAAAGAAATTAGTTTTGAATAGGTGAAGCATTTTGTGCCTACTGTATGATTTAGTTAAATGAGTGTATAGGATTAAAAACTATTGAGGGGTTATTGTCAAGATTGGGAGTGATTTTATAAGCTGCTTTCCACAGTAAGTCAGTTTAAAAATGGAACTATTAAAAAAAAGATTGGTATAGGGTTAAAATTAAAGGGACTAGAGAAGATGCCCTCTTAATGAAAATAATAAACTCAATTCCCTTTCCCGTAACTTTATTACACAGAACTAATTGTGTTTATTCCTCTTAATGTGTTTCTATATATGTTTCAGTGTTGTCATCCCTATAGACCACTAATGAGCAAGCTTTATAATTCTTCCTCTGCTCAAGTTCATAGTACCCATGGCAGTAATTGCTGATAAATTTTCATTCTTTCAAAGACTCTTACCGGATGTGATTAACATGTAGGCTCGTTAAATACCTTTTAGTCTAGATTAAATAAGGGCTAATGCTATGTTTTCAATATAATAAAAATTAACTTTTAAAATATATTTAAATTTGTAGATTAAATAAGGGCTAATGCTATGTTTTCAATATAATAAAAATTAACTTTTAAAATATATTTTAATTTGTAGACTTCAAAAAAATAAAATAAAAAACCCTAAATACTGATACTTGGAAAACTTTTTTCTTCATTTTATTTATTTATTTTAAGTTAGGATTTAGGTTTAGTAGAATATAACAGAAAATTTAAACTAACTGTGGCTTAAAATAGAGGTAGTTTTTTTTTACACATAAAAGCCCAAAGATAGTTAATATAAATCCAGTATAATGGATTTGCAGTATCAAGGGCACAGATTCTTTCTAACTTAATGTATCTTATTTTGCACTACAGTGTTATCTCATGAACCAAAATTGCTGTTGGAGTTATAACCACTGTATTTTCATTCTAGTCAAAAGGAAGGAGAGCAGGGAGAAGAAAGGCATATTCTCTCTTGAAGGGACACTTTTTTGAAGTCACACATAGTCTTTTAAACTTACATACAGTTGGCCAGAACATGGTCCCATGGTCATACCTAGCCACAAGGGAGGCTAGGATATATAGTCTCTTCTGGGAGGCCTTATGCTGAGCTAAGAGTTGGAGGTTAGGAATAGGAGAGACTGGGCATTGGAGACAGACTGCAGCTTCTCCCATAGTATACCAACTGAATCATTTTAAAGCAAGAAAGGCATTGTCCAGTTAAAGTCTACAACATTTATGCCAGAGACAGTCTTAGACTTGCAAATGCAATGACCAAAATAATAAATACACTGAAAGAGAGAGGTGATATATTTTAGCAGACCAAAAGAGAACTGTATTTTGGAATACTCTAAACTGAGTTTTTTTTAACTTTCTACCTTTTTGTGAGTATTATTTTGAGCCAGATTTTTATGATCCCAGTCTAGGACCATAAAATAAAAAAAGACATATTTAATAATTGCTAGACCATTAAGTGAAAGGCCAGTAAAAAAGCAAATGAAGAATGAGGAATTGTGCCCTGGCCAGAGGAACAAAGAGTGTGGGCTTGATTCTGGTCAAGGGCATGTACCTAGGTTGCGATTAGGTCCCTGGCCCCTGGTCAGGGTTGTGGGAGAGGCAACCAAATGATGTGTCTCTCTCACATCAGTGTTTGTCTCTCTCTTGCACTCTATCTGAAGATAAATGGAAAAATATCCTTTGGAGAGGATTAAAAAAAAAAAAGAATGAGCAGCTGTGCTGTTTCATTTATTTCATTTGAAGAGCTCAAGGAATTGTGTGGTAAAGTAGGGATGGTGGTGAGGATAATGGCCTACACTGCTTGCTCCTTGGCAGTTTGGTGTTCATTTCCAAGCCATGTATCCATTTGTTTTATTTCTACCCAGAACATTGCTGCACGTTTATTTAGATATTTTCTCTCATTTTAATTCTAAAGGTTTAGTCTCCATAAAGCAAATGAAGCTGGTCATTTGGGACCATATTATTATTTTTTTAATAGATTTTTTTTTTTTTTTAAGAGGAAAGGAGGGGGTGAGAAAGAGAAAGGAACGTTGATTTGTTGTTCCACTTATTTATGCATTCACAGGTTCCCTCCTATATGTGCCCTGATTGGAGATCAAACCCAAGACCTTGGCATATTGGCACAGTGCTCCAGCCAACTGAACCACCCGGCCAGAGCCTGGACCATGTTATTTTATGAATGCTTTTGCCATTATTTTGTGTTTGTTTTTAAATTTTTCACCTAAAAATTTGATTAAAAAGTCAGAGAAATCAGACTTTTAGCATTTTTGTGTCACCTCACATAAGCATTAATATTTTAAGCATATAATGTCAAACACCAGGAGTTGAACACCTGAGAATGAGTGGAAGAGGGTAGAGAAGTCTCCTTTGAATCGATACAACATTGTTTATCTGCTCAGAGGGTCTAATAAGCATGAGTCACAAATATATCCATCTCCTTTGTTAACAGAGTTGCCAATACTGGTAACTGCAAATGAGTTGTTCAAGTAGTACTTTGTTAGGTGGTTGTACATTAGCAAAAGAGATAATAATTTTGGTTGATAATGGGCTAGTAATTACAAGCCTTAATTTTCTTGAGCTGAGCCTAGATGCTCAGCACAGTTCAAAAATTAGATTTTATATAATATAGATGTCCTCTTTTACTGGTATTGGATAAGTAACTAAAGGCAGTATCTAAAATACAAGCACCTGAGATAAGCTTTGCTTTTTAAGGAGTAGATAGTTGTTGTAGTAATACATTAATAATATTAATAATCAACAATAATAATACAAATGATAGTACTTAACATTTATTGAGTGCTTGCTGTGTGCTGGGCATAGTGCTAAATCCCTTAATAAGTATTTTCTTATATAACCCTTATAATTATAAAATAAACAATATTATTGTTTTCATTTTACAGATGAGAAAACTGAAGATTAGGGTGAACAGTTTGATGTTTGACCCCAAATCTGTTTAACTCCAGGCTCTGTGTGCTGTAGAGAACTTGAAGATCTGGTGCCCCAGTTCCAGGCCAACACTTGGCAGTAACAGGGCAATCCCAGGGCAGGTTGATTGGGTGGCAGTGGTAAAGAAGTGAGTTTTCTTGACCGCTGCACTGCTGAGGAGGAGACGGATAAGGTGCACAATACCTTAGTGTGTTCAGAGTGTCCATATTGGAGAGAATTTTCTCTAGCTTTGAATGTTTTATTACTTCCACAGAAAATAGGTTGATTTTGTTTTCTTTGCTTATTGATTAAGAGGATAGTATCATTGCCATTCAAAAGAAGAGTTTTACGTTAACCATCAGATAAATTGTGAAGCAAGTAAACAGGATGTCAAAGTCCCCACCCCCCACCCCCCCGGATTTTCAGAGTAATTTAGACTATTTTATTGTAGGGTTCCTTAAATATCTGAATTCCCCTAAGTTCCTTTGTGTTTGTTTACAGTTAATGTGTTAAGAGCCATTGACATTTGAAGATCATCAGAAGTGAAGATAAAACATCTCAAAAATTATAATGTAAGTGAATGGGAAAATGAAAATACAAAACTTGACAAAAGTTAATATTGCCAACAATATTTCTGGAATCCATATATTACCCCAAATGAAATTTATGGGTATGAATAACCAGTAACTACATACTTTAGTTCCAAGTCCCAATTCTTAAAATTCCGTCTTCTTTTCTACCTGGGGAAAACTGTGACTAAGTTTTCGTCGTTGGTAATTTTCCATTAGAATTCTTTGGCTTCCATGTAGTATTTTTTTTCTTTCCTCCTTAGTACTTTACAGATTGACAAGGGCTCGTGTTATATTTAAAATTGTATGTGTATAGAGACTGAAGTCTTTGCTTTCCAGCTGCTGATGTATGCTTTACTCAGTTTTAATTTTAATACCATTTTGTATGTTTCTTAGCCAAAAGTATGACTAGCTAGCTAGCTGGCCTCCTCCCTTCCTTCCCTTCTTTCTTTATCCACTCCCTTCCTCCCTCCCTCCCTTCTTCCTCTCTATAAATATTTGTTTAGCATCTGCTGTGTTCTGCACAGTATGCTAGATCCAGAATTCCTAAGACCTTGGCACTGAAACAAATTATGTCATCTTTTTATACAGTCAGGGGCATAGGAGCTGCTTTGCTGTGTCTAGGACTTGTAATGTCCTCAAGTGTGGCTGAGGATCACCTGTGTATTTCAGTCACTTGGGATGCTTGGTGAATATTTAGCTAGCTACCCATATTCCAGCCCCGACATTGTGAATCACTGGGAGTGGGCCCAAAAATCTTCACTTAAGGTGAAAACCACCAATCCAGGTACTTTGGGATTCTAGTCCAACTCTGTAAGTTTGTAGATGAGGGAACAGACCTAGAGAAATTTAATAACTTACCCAAAGGCACAATAAGTTTTAGAAGGCCAGAAAAGGTTGATATTGTTTCCATTAAAGTCACAGAGCTATTTAGTGCTTAAAGTGATCTTCTGACTTCCAGTTCTGGACTTCACTAAGTCATAGTAAGTTTTTGTTGTTGGGCCTGACAGCTTCATTGTGTATATATAAAATCATAGCTAATCTATCATTGTTCCTAGAAATATAACTAAAAGCACATATTGGTTGTGTGCGCGAGAAACACAGACTGTTACTTCATCTTTAGTCAGTTATGTAACTTGATTTTGATTTTGAAATCATTGGCTGGAAAAAAAAAAACCTGTTAGTCTAGGTAGAGGAAAAACATTTTTTCTTTTTTCCCCCAATGTACTCTCCCTACTTGACCTTTACATTTTATGCATTTGAAGGGTCGGGGAGTCTGATTTAATTTTTGAATGATGGTAGTAGCTAGCATAGTGCTTTGCAAATAGGTGCTTGGTAAATTGTAGTAGGAACAGTATGTAGTATGAAAAGCTATGAACAGCCCTGGCTGGTTTGGCTCATTGGTTAGAGCGTTGGCCTGCGGTCCAGAGAGAGACCCGGGTTCTGTTCCCGCTAAGGGCGCGTACCTCGGTTGCAGTTTGTCCCCGGCCCTGGTTGGTCGTGCGGGTGGCAGCCACTCGATGTGTTCCTTTCACGTCGATGTTTCTCTCTCTCTCTCCCTCCCACTGTATCTGAACAAAAACTGGAAAAATGTCCTCGGGTGAGGATAAAAAAAGAAAAGCTATAAACATAAGTAGTATGAAAAAAGTTTGTTTTTTTGGGGGGATTCTATGAACTATTAGGAGTGGTTTTATTTGGTTGTTACAGAATCTGATGCTTTATATACCAAGCCAGAGACCTCCAGTAATTGAAGTTATTTTATATTTTTAGTACTGCATTGTTGTGGTTTATATTCACAATACACCTGAGGGACTGAAATATTCTAAAGTATTTTCTGAACTATAAGTGTGTGAATTAATTTTGGTGTGTATATTTTGTATTTTATTGTGTATAGTATATTAATAGTTGTATCCTTATATAGTAAATGTAGGTAGCCAATTTTATTTAAAATATTCTGTAATTCCGAAATTTACTATTAAGTTTTAACTATAAAATGTAATAATTACTCAATTTTCTGGATATTTTGGATATGTTTTAATTGTAAGATTTTAAAAAGTAACATTTTAAAATCATTTATTTCTAATAAGTTTTTTATATTTTGTAATTATAAATTTTCTTCTCATTATTTTTTTTTGCTTTTTTTATAATCACAGACTCAAAATCATAAATAGCTCTAAAAAGGGACCTTATCTATTTTATAGTGTAATTCCTTCATTTTTGATGTTGGGACACTAAAGTTATGGAATTTGCCTAAGGGTGGAAGTTTTATGAATGTTAAAATACACTTGAGAAAAGAAACAGAGTAACAGTGATTGTATTTCTATGATGGTATGTGTGAAATGCCTTAAAAACTATAATGTCACACAAATAAAATGTATTATGATTACTGCTATGATGATACGTCCACTGAGTTTCCTTGTGATTTAATTTAAAATGTTTACTGTTGTTTAATTTAAAATCAGAAAGAAAAATACATATGCTTGTCGCTTGGCTTGTTCTCTTATTATGTAGCTCACATTTTACTGAGTCTCCTTTAAGTATATGGTACTAGAGTAGATACTTTGAGGTCACCCAAAGTTCTTTCACTGTGCCAATCCAATCCAGATTGTTCTTTATTATACTGTAATTGCACAAATACTCAGAATGATACTTCTATTTTAGAATTGTTTTGTCAGCCATTTTCAAAGAAAAAAGTTATTAATGAACGATAAGTATTATCAATGTAATCAAAGTAGCTAATAGTGATGTTAACACATTTTGTTGTAATTTTTATATTTACGAAGATGTTTAATCTACATCATCTAAGTTATTTCTCGTAACAGCCTTGTGAGGTTGGCCCTCATTTGACAGATGGATAAATGAAGCTCAGAGAAGTGACACAATTGCCCAGTGTCCCCTACTTGAAAAGATGGAACTGAAACTTTGACTATAAATGCCATCCTGTTTCCACTGCCCAGCATAAATTGTAACATGGAAGTTTCATGGGGGATGCGGTTTGCTATTTAAAAGACATTTTTAATATTGGAAAAGCCTAATTATTTAGTGTGTACTTCTCTTGAGAAGTCTGACTCATTTTGCTATTCAAAAAAAATACTTTAAAGATATGCAGGTATCATTTGGATAAAAGATATGTAATTACAAATTTTAGCATGGCTACCAGTATGTGCTGCCTAAAATTATTTGAGTGTTTAAATGTTTAAAAGAGTAGTGATTATGGTCTTTAAGGGAGTATATTGAACTATATAAACTCAGAAAAATACTGTTATATGATACAGCACAGTGTAGTGAAAAGTCTTGATTATTTCTTAATCCTGGGTCCTTAGTTCTGATTTTACTTCTTAACTATGACTCTGGATTAGTCACTTGATTTCTCTGGGCCTGATTCTCCTATCTGGAAAAAGGGTAAAGTGATACCTGTTATCCTCTTTATAGTATTGTTGTCAGACCTAAACATAATGATTGATAATGATGACAATAATTTAAAAAGCTAACAGCTATGTAGTGTGTACCATGTGGTAAGCACTGTTTTAAGTATTTTACATATATTAATTCATTTAAACTGTTACAGCAATCCTGTGAGGTATAAGAATTATCAGTATCCCATATCCCACTTTACAGATGAGGAAACTAAAGCACAGAGAGGTTAAGTAACTTCCTCAAGGTCACACAGGTAGTTGAATAAGAATTTAGTACCAGGCAATCTAGCCCCAGAGTTGGTAATATGTATGTAAAGTGTATGAGAGCACTTTTGACATTTGTAAAAAGCCATGCTAATGTTAAGTATTAATACTTTAATAGTTAAAAAGACCCTTTGTTCATCTTTATACAAATAGCGAGAAAAGACAAAAATAAGTGAGAAGATAGTTTCTTTTTATAATTTATGATTTGTACTAACCAATCTGGTGAATAGGGAACAGTATTCAAAATTATGGAGGATAAATCACTGAATGATGCCAATATTTAAAATTTTTAACTTTACCTTTCCAGGCTAGAAAGAGAAAGAGTCATTGAATGCTCTTCTTTTCCTACTGAATGTTTTAACTTAGTGTCTGCAAACAAAACAAAATACCTGTATTAACTTTACTTGCATAGTTTCAAATCTGTGCAGAAAGTTATATCTTCTTACACTGACAGGGGAGGGAGTGATTAGTAATAATTAGGGAAAAACACAAATGCCTATCTGATAGTTTGAAGAATGGCTCTGACTTTCTAATTTTAGTAATATATTTAGATTTGCTTGATGGGATGAGAAAATTACACGGGAGGTCATATATCAAGGCGTGAATTCCCCATGTGTTTGTTTGTCCAGGTAAAAGTGTTTGTTGAACAAGTGTTTACTGAATAGGTCAACTCCCCTTTTAGTGTTTCTGACCTTACATTTCAATTTGGGACAGAAGTGTTTGTTTCTGCAAAGAAATACAATCTCTGAGTAGTGTGCTTTGAGCTGTAATGATTGGACCAGTCTTCAGTTTAGTATGACATTTTCTCAGTTAAACTGATATGTAAATAACTTTCCCCTTTAGATTACTTATGAATCCATATGAGTTTTCATTTTAGCTATTATCCAAGTTTGAGTCAGAGATTTTTGAAGGAGTTCTGAGAAGCTCTTTTAAGGGACAGCTAAGGGCGTTGGGATTGATTGGTGCTGGAACCCAAGATCCCTTCTACTCTCCAATTTTTACCTAATCCCCTATGGACATATTAATTTTAGCTTTTGCCTGCTTTATTTATATTTCCAATAAGATCTTTGCAGAAGTAATACTCTGTAGAAGAAAAGTCTTATGTATACCATTTTTAATACAACCTGGTTTTTCAGACATGCTGCTGTATTACCAAATAATACACCCTGACTTTCAGTTTAGAAAGTGTAGTTGAGCCCTGACCAGTTTGGCTCAGCGGTTAGAGCGTCAGCCTGCCGTCCGGAGAGACCCGGGTTCGGTTCCCGCTAAGGGCACGTACTTCGGTTGCAGTTTGTCCCCGGCCCTGGTTGGTCGTGCGGGTGG